AGAGCTATTTCGATTTTTAAAATGGCATGTTTTTGATCAAATTTGCATTATATTTCCCATAGCAGCACGCGCGGATTTTGAACTTTGACGCGCGCTCACGGCCTGATAAAAGGTCAAGAGTGACTGAAATTAATGAAAATTGTCATTTACGAGTAAGAGAAATTTAAATCATGTAACAAATTTGAATTTTACCTTTTCCGCGCGTTGTGAGCGTGCGCAATGCGGGCGGGGACACGTACTGACGGAAAATTTTGAAATGCTTAAAGTGATCTGATTCGTACTCTCGTTTAATAGTTAAGTGATTTTGAGCATTTTTAAATTTTGACGTGCGTACGTGCGCGTCATGACCTTTAAGTGACCTTTGATGACATGAACTATTGACCCTTGACCTGAAATATATGTGATATTATTATGAATGACCTTTACTTATGCAACATGAAGATATGATGGATAACGTGATTTCACAAAATGGCGCCTGAATGACGTCACGATAACCTAATGACCTTGAAAATGTTTCTGTCACGTTTCATGGCAATGACCCATGACTTTGCTAAAATTGAATGGAATTGACTCAACCGAACTTGAGTTATCTTAGGCACAAAAAAGTGTAGGAAATAAATAAAAATAAAGAAATAATAAAGAAAGAAAATTCTGACGAAAACAATAGGTGATCCGTCGAAAACGACAGACCACCTAATAAAGGCAATTCTAACGAAATTATAAGGTGGTCTGTACGTTATACAGCCCAACTGATAATACGCCAATGGCGGTCTGTACTTAACTGGAAGAAGAGAAGAGAAGAAGGAAAAACTGCAAGAGGTACAAGTTTGGAATGACGTTATCGCGGTATCTCCGTTTAAGTACATGTAGGGTACAGTGTATCTCCACGTTGGAGTTCCGGGTTAAAGTCTGGATAGACTTTTGAACTAGCGCCTTAGGTTTGACTATGATTGGAACTGTCAACCATTACGTTTTTGCCGGAATTATTCCATTTTTTCCTCCAAATTATGCCGGAGGCATCATGTTTTCGGGTTGTCCGTCCGTACGTCCGTCCCGTTTGACCGTTATCACAATATCTCAAGAACCATTTAAGATTTAAACTTAAGACTCGGGAATAGTATTTATCACCATAGGAAGACGATCTGATTAGATTTTGGAGTACGTAGGTCAAAGGTCACAGGTCACAGAGGTCAACTTATGAAATTCCTTGTATTGAGTTTGTTAGCGCGATATCTCAAGAACCATTTGAGATTTAAACTTCAAACTTAAGGATAGTATGTATCACCATAGGAAGACGATCTGATTAGATTTTGGAGCACGTATGTCAAAGGTCAAGGGTCACAGAGGTCAACTTATGAAATTCCATACATTGAGATTGTTATCATAATATCTCAAGAACCACTGGAGATTTAAACTTCAAACTTAATGATAGTGTGTATCACCATAGGAAGACTATCTGATTAGATTTTGGAGCACGTAGGTCAAAGGTCAAGGGTCACAGAGGTCAACTTATGAAATTCCATACATTGAGATTGTTATCATGATATCTCAAGAACCACTGGAGATTTAAACTCCAAAGTTGTTTAAATTGCTCTATGGCGGAGGCATCATTTTCGACTGCGCGCAGTCAAAATTCCATCTAGTTTCTTCATGAAATATGTTATTTGATTTTTTGATTTTTTTTTTTAATTTAAATTTTTTTTTTTACATACCGCACGTCAAACAACTGCCCTAAAATGTTGATTTGATCAAAAATTCAATAGTAACTAAGGTTAAAACATACATAAAGAGAAAAATATTCTCAAAAAGAATGAAATGCCATTAATACCCCCCCCCCCCCCAAAAAAAAAAAAAAATTACCTACTTGTAAATAAACTATAGGTGCTCATATAGAAAACACAGCATGAGGAATGGACATTTCTGCATTGGAAGTGTGTCGCACATGGTTTTCATTTTTGTTTTAATGAATTTCCTTTTTTTTGCTTGAAATTCCTTTTTTTTGCCATCATGGTTCCTTTTTTGGGTCACACAAGGTAATATTGGTATTCTCTGTAAATTGAAATATTATGTCCCTTCAAATATCTTGTTTATGTTTTATAATTCATTGATACTGCCTTATATTTCATATTGTAACATTATATGGGCAAATTCGAAAGCAATTTTGACGCCATTTTACTGGTACAAAAGAAAGCCATGCGTACATTATATGTACTGATTCTTCCTATCGCGACCACACTAATCCCTTGTTTTCAAAACTAAAAACTCTAAAAGCTGATGATATAAATTTTCTACAAATAGCACTTTTCATGTTTCGCTTACAAAATGGTCTACTACCTTTATACTTTCCCCCATTGTTTAATTTAAATAAAACCATCCACTCTTACCCCACAAGACAAACTGAAAAATTCCATTTAAGAAATCCAAAAACCGCATTGGCTCTCAAATCCATTGTTCGATTGTTGTTGTTGTTTTAGTTTTAAGTGCGTGTGTCATTCAATACACCAGTTTACAGTTGTATCAGTGCGCATGCGCAGACAGTTGACCTCGGGTGATTTGCCCTGAATTCAGGGCCAATGACCTTTGACCAATGGTATTGATGCTTAAATTAAGATTGCGCCCATGCAAATGATGATTTGCGCGCACAACGCAGCGTGTAGGCAGTGATATCATCTTAATTTACGCATAAATACATGACCTCTAGGTCATTGGCTTTGTTTAAAATGGCGCACACAACCGTAAACTGGTGTATTATGAATATTTACGCGGAATGCAATATTTACGAGGAATGCAAGTAGTTAGACTGCCAATCAGACATTGTTAGTAATAAGCTGATCAAATGTTCTTTAATAATGAAAAATAACGAGTTCGGGTAGGATTCTCAATACCATAATCATTTCATAAATTGTTGTTGAATATCTGAATCACGATGAGCTTTTATTCCAAGAGGTAAAAGCAGCCACAAATACACTTGAACAGTATAATGGGTCAAAAACTTAGACTACTGCAGACGTGTTGCTTAGTAACCAAGATAAGGAAAGTAGGTCAATTCAGCGCTAGCCCTGAGTTTGAAAAAACAATGTTGGAATTTTCAAACTAGATGAATGACCTCGATTGGAATTTACATCGAGTAGAGTTTCTCTCTATTTTATATTTATTTTTCGGAATACTGGATATACTTTCCAATGTTTTTATTTTATTTTTGTTGTTTAGCACAAGGACATTTTATCAATGTAAATATTGTTATTTGATGGAATTTTGCATCATAATTTCATAATTCTATTCCTAGAAAGAACAGGGCATGGGCAAACTGGAACTTATCTTTATTTTGGTTTGATCACTTGAATTCATTACCTTTTTATTTCCATCGTATTTGTTTAGTGAATTTATACAAAAAAATTATATCAAAGTGATATTTTTTTTCTTCTTTTTTTCCTTCGGAATAATGATCTTTTTTTTCACTGAAAGTACAAGGAAATTTTATCAATGTAACTTTTTGTTCTTTGATGGCATTTTGCATCACAATTTTATAAGACTATTCCTAGAAAGAACAGGGGAAGGGACAAGTGGAACTTCCTTTATTTGATCACTGGAATTCGTTACCTTTTTATTTCTGTTTTATTACTTTAGTGAATTATAAAGAAATTATATCAATGTAACCTTTTTTTTCTCTTCAAATTGTATTTTTGCTACATTATTTTATAGGATCATTCAATTATTTTGTGTATGAAAACGATCCCTTTCACGACTGAGGTAACAAAAATTAAAAAAATGTTAGTACTTTGTATTCATTTTAGTGTTAGGTTAGTAAATGTATTTATGTCCTTTCTTTACATAGCAATTTGGGTTTTTTTTTTTCTTCATCGGGCCAAGAAGGCAGATATTCTGCCAGTAAGACAGAAAGAGAAGGAAAGAAAAAGGAAAGAAAAAGGAAACACCTGCACAGCAGGCTCTCTTTATTGTTTCTTTACTGTACCAATACAATACAATATCAATTGCAATTCAATATTGGAAATAAAACAAATAATTATATACAGTTTTTGTACATACTTATATATTTACAAGCAAGTGATGGCAAGAAAAGGCTGAAAATTATTATGAAACATAAATTGTGCTGGAAACACCTGCACAGCAGGCTCTCTTTATCATTTATCTACCAATAAAATATAAAAGCAATTACAATTCAATATACAAGTAACTTTATTCAAGGTATGGTTCAATTGCAGCTTTGTATTGGTTATTGGAAAAGAAAATGTTCATAATAAACAAAAATAAAGAAAGGGAGAATACAATGACAGGAAATGTAACTGAACCAAACTATTGATAATGAAAAAAATATTTGTATACATATTTAAATATTTACAAGCAAGTGATGGCAAGAAAAGGCCAACAAATTATTATGAAATATAAATTGGGCTGGAAACACCTGCACAGCAGGCTCTCTTTATTGTTTCTTTACGCTACAATACATAAATATTTACAAGCAACTGCAAGTGATGGCAAAAAAAGGCTGATCAATTATTATGAAACATAAATTGCACTGAATTAGAAAGGGAGAAAGAAAGAGAACATCACACTCGGCACATCACACCCAGCCATGAAACACCGCAAAACTCTTCTTGCATACTAACTCCGGGAAGCTCCAACACCGGCGCCGCAGGCGTCGGAGCTTTAGGTGGTTTCCTTGGTTTCTCTTGGGGGCTAGTAAAACAGCCGATTGGGTGATATTATCGTTAAATCTGCAAAGGGAGTACTTACAATTTTTACATCATAGGGTGCACGACTCCTCAGGGCTCAACTCCAATCACTTGAATGTATAATTTGAAGAAGTCTTCGATGGGAAAAAAAGGTTAATTCGGGGTACTACACCAACGATTCTTCCATGTCGCAGCGTTGATTCAAAATAGCGATGAGAAGGTACGCATGCGCGGCAGCGGCGAAGAAAATATGAATATTCAGGCTATCGAGCGCCGATCGCTCGAAATCGCTGAATACGCACGAGGTTAAGAAGGGCTCTGTTTGTTCGAGTCGTGCATATTCAGCGATTTTGCACGCTTATCTTTCCAGGAGTAGGCCGACATGTTCCCTCTTTGAGCCATGTTACAGTCGCCTTGCTCCACCAAACGAGTCCTGGAGAGATGATAGCGTGGTAAACCTTTACGGTTGATACGAACCGTCCCTCGAGCGAAGATAGTCATACTTCTCAGCCTCTCAAACAATTCAACAGAACTGAAAAAATTGTCCATGTTGATAACATGATGCAATCCTCCCAGCCTCTCACACAAGTCAAGCACAACACGGGTAGATAAACCCTTCTCCTGTACGTCTCTTACTACTCTCCCAGTATAAACCTGAAACTCGTTGCAATAACTATTTTCAGGATCTGCTCTCATCCACACTTTCACTCCATACTTGGTTGGTTTCTTTGGCATATTGGTGAAATCCAAGGCGGCCACGGAATCCTATTGAAGCGGGAATGGTCGCTGAGTTGATAAAATGATATAAACCAATCGCCACTTACCGACTTTATGCGTGTTGGATGAATCCTCCAAAATAATATACACAGTCCCAAATATTGCACCTTTTCCAATGGCTCACAATTAATTCACCACAGATAAACATAACTTGGCTAGCACAAGCGATTGTTCTCTGGGTGAATGATAGAGAAATGATATATAAATGATGATCCTCCAAATGAAGTGCCGGAGATAGATACGTTCCAAGTGTATGCAGGAACAGAGTAAGAAGACGTTCTCGAATTGTTGATTCGTCGAAGAACTATGAGAAGTGGTGTAGAGAAGAGAATTTGAGAGAAGATGTTGTTTTCATCCTTCTTGGGAGGCAGGATAAAACAAAGAGAGTTCTGTACCAAATTCTGGGAAGTAAGGGCGAGTCACTGGTGATAACTGCAGTGTCCAGGGCCATTACGCCATTAAGCTGAAACTTGTTGACACATATATAGGGGTGGCAGTGCCTGGCATAAGTCAGAGCCCAAATTGGGTTTGCAAAATAAGTAATGAAACTGAGAAATGAAGAAGGATTAAATGAGGAAAATACTACATCAGCCCCCTCCTAGAACGTTGAATAGAACGAAACAGGCGATAATAGAAAAAAAGTAATAGTCCGAATGAAAATTTGAAAATGTCTCATTTGAAATGCCAAACCTGAACATAGCGCTTTGGGAAATGAACTTTTCTCCCTGAACGAGTTTGTCTGAGTTCGAGCTCGGAAGAAGACGAAGTGATAGAGGGCTCCTGAGGCTGAGAGGTTGGTATAGTAGGTGCGTGTGAAGGTTGAGGGTCCTGTGAGGATGGTAGACGAGGTTCCGCAGTAGCGATGGGCGGGTCTAAATATGCAGGTTTGAGACGGTCGAGACTGACAGTGTCTTGTCTTCCTTTGAATTGGATGGTGAAAAACTTGTCAGCTCGTCTGATGACTTTGAATGGGCCATCATATGGTGGTTGGAGAGGTTTCTTGACAGCATCATGACGCACAAATACATGAGTACATGTTGTGAGATCAGGGTGGACTTGTGGTTTGCGCTGTTGAAACATAAATTGCACTGAATTAGAAAGGGAGAAAGAAAGAGAACATCACACTCGGCACATCACACCCAGCCATGAAACACCGCAAAACTCTTCTTGCATACTAACTCCGGGAAGCTCCAACACCGGCGCCGCAGGCGTCGGAGCTTTAGGTGGTTTCCTTGGTTTCTCTTGGGGGCTAGTAAAACAGCCGATTGGGTGATATTATCGTTAAATCTGCAAAGGGAGTACTTACAACTTTTACATCATAGGGTGCACGACTCCTCAGGGCTCAACTCCAATCACTTGAATGTATAATTTGAAGAAGTCTTCGATGGGAAAAAAAGGTTAATTCGGGGTACTACACCAACGATTCTTCCATGTCGCAGCGTTGATTCAAAATAGCGATGAGAAGGTACGCATGCGCGGCAGCGGCGAAGAAAATATGAATATTCAGGCTATCGAGCGCCGATCGCTCGAAATCGCTGAATACGCACGAGGTTAAGAAGGGCTCTGTTTGTTCGAGTCGTGCATATTCAGCGATTTTGCACGCTTATCTTTCCAGGAGTAGGCCGACATGTTCCCTCTTTGAGCCATGTTACAGTCGCCTTGCTCCACCAAACGAGTCCTGGAGAGATGATAGCGTGGTAAACCTTTACGGTTGATACGAACCGTCCCTCGAGCGAAGATGGTCATACTTCTCAACTCCAATCACTTGAATGTATAATTTGAAGAAGTCTTCGATGGGAAAAAAAGGTTAATTCGGGGTACTACACCAACGATTCTTCCATGTCGCAGCGTTGATTCAAAATAGCGATGAGAAGGTACGCATGCGCGGCAGCGGCGAAGAAAATATGAATATTCAGGCTATCGAGCGCCGATCGCTCGAAATCGCTGCATACGCACGAGGTTAAGAAGGGCTCTGTTTGTTCGAGTCGTGCATATTCAGCGATTTTGCACGCTTATCTTTCCAGGAGTAGGCCGACATGTTCCCTCTTTGAGCCATGTTACAGTCGCCTTGCTCCACCAAACGAGTCCTGGAGAGATGATAGCGTGGTAAACCTTTACGGTTGATACGAACCGTCCCTCGAGCGAAGATGGTCATACTTCTCAGCCTCTCAAACAATTCAACAGAACTGAAAAAATTGTCCATGTTGATAACATGATGCAATCCTCCCAGCCTCTCACACAAGTCAAGCACAACACGGGTAGATAAACCCTTCTCCTGTACGTCTCTTACTACTCTCCCAGTATAAACCTGAAACTCGTTGCAATAACTATTTTCAGGATCTGCTCTCATCCACACTTTCACTCCATACTTGGTTGGTTTCTTTGGCATATTGGTGAAATCCAAGGCGGCCACGGAATCCTATTGAAGCGGGAATGGTCGCTGAGTTGATAAAATGATATAAACCAATCGCCACTTACCGACTTTATGCGTGTTGGATGAATCCTCCAAAATAATATACACAGTCCCAAATATTGCACCTTTTCCAATGGCTCACAATTAATTCACCACAGATAAACATAACTTGGCTAGCACAAGCGATTGTTCTCTGGGTGAATGATAGAGAAATGATATATAAATGATGATCCTCCAAATGAAGTGCCGGAGATAGATACGTTCCAAGTGTATGCAGGAACAGAGTAAGAAGACGTTCTCGAATTGGAACAATTGCAGAATACCCTACCACGGTTTTACAGAATTAGATCTAGAACTAGTCTAGATCTATAACAGTCTGACAAATATTAGAAATATAGTCTAGAACTAGAGTCTAGGTCTAGAAGCCAAATTCCAACGACCATCGACCAACAGTCTGACAAATATATTAGAAATTGAAACCAACGACCATCGACCAAATACTATTGAATGGAAGAGTCCAACGACCATCGACCAACAGTCTGACAAATATTAGAAAAAGAGACCAACGACCATAGACCAAATAGTGAGGCATATTTGTTTAAAAGAGCCAACGACCAACGACCATCGACCAAGGACTCCCAAATATTAAAAAAGAAGCCAACGACCAACGACCATCGACCAAGGACTCCCAAATATTAAAAATGAGGCCAACGACCAACGACCATCGACCACCCACCAATACTAGTCTAGTCTAAGCACAAAGCTAATTTTTTCTTTTGTATTTTTAGCACGAGACATTCCACTATTATAAGCACAAAACTATTATTTTTCTTTTGTATTTTTAGAACGAGACATCACTTGTTGATTAAAAAAGCACAACACTATTATTTTTCTTTTGTATTTCTAGAACGAGACATTACTTGTTGATTAAAATATCTAATAGGGTCTTAGAAAGCAGACTAGCAGTGTAAGAGAGGGCACAAGGTACAAACAAATACGTGTGTGGGACTAGACTATGTACGGGCTGGACATTTTGTGTTACTGAAATGTGCTTAGAATTCAAGTAATTCATCTATTAAATGACTATAACAGACAATAAACAAGACAAAGGTAAGGACAAGAATCAGTGCTTATCAATATAACAGACATTTTGCATGAAATACCATCAGGAAAGCCATCTAAATTTGTCACAAATTAGCGACAAACACACCAAATTCAGCGCTGCAATGACGCACAAAACCGCGTAAAATTCAACTTTTCATCCACCAAATGAATTCAAACACTTGCATTATACAATCTTCAATACCTGTATCACCGTTATCACAAATAATAAAATCACAATCTATATCTACGGCTAATATATGAAGACTAACGATATGGTAGGGTATTCTGCAATTAAGCCCTCGAATTGACTTGTTGATTCGTCGAAGAACTATGAGAAGTGGTGTAGAGAAGAGAATTTGAGAGAAGATGTTGTTTTCATCCTTCTTGGGAGGCAGGATAAAACAAAGAGAGTTCTGTACCAAATTCTGGGAAGTAAGGGCGAGTCACTGGTGATAACTGCAGTGTCCAGGGCCATTACGCCATTAAGCTGAAACTTGTTGACACATATATAGGGGTGGCAGTGCCTGGCATAAGTCAGAGCCCAAATTGGGTTTGCAAAATAAGTAATGAAACTGAGAAATGAAGAAGGATTAAATGAGGAAAATACTACATCAGCCCCCTCCTAGAACGTTGAATAGAACGAAACAGGCGATAATAGAAAAAAAGTAATAGTCCGAATGAAAATTTGAAAATGTCTCATTTGAAATGCCAAACCTGAACATAGCGCTTTGGGAAATGAACTTTTCTCCCTGAACGAGTTTGTCTGAGTTCGAGCTCGGAAGAAGACAAAGTGATAGAGGGCTCCTGAGGCTGAGAGGTTGGTATAGTAGGTGCGTGTGAAGGTTGAGGGTCCTGTGAGGATGGTAGACGAGGTTCCGCAGTAGCGATGGGCGGGTCTAAATATGCAGGTTTGAGACGGTCGAGACTGACAGTGTCTTGTCTTCCTTTGAATTGGATGGTGAAAAACTTGTCAGCTCGTCTGATGACTTTGAATGGGCCATCATATGGTGGTTGGAGAGGTTTCTTGACAGCATCATGACGCACAAATACATGAGTACATGTTGTGAGATCAGGGTGGACTTGTGGTTTGCGCTGTTGAGCACGAGTGGGCCGAGGTTTGAGGTTCTCCATTTGCTTTCCTAGTCAGTGGATGTAGTTGCTAGGGTCCAAATCACAATCATTCTGACTAGGTGCTACAAACTGACCTGGTAATCTTATTGTAGTTCCGTATACCAGTTCAGCAGCGCAACATCCTAAATCAGATTTGACTGCAGTTCGGATTCCAAGCATGACGAGAGGGAGAGTTTCAGACCATCGTGATGTAGATGAGGCTTTGAGAGATGCTTTTAGTTGACGATGAAAGCGTTCCACTAGTCCATTTGATGCTGGATGGTAAGATGTAGTTCGAATCCTAGAGCTGCCAAGAAGATGAGTTAAGGCT